AACAGAAACACAGTAATGCCGAAACAGCGTCCGTTACATAACGATACCAGCACAAACCACAAGTTTGTTCATTTGAATTGAACACTGTGCAATTCTCTGGGATCTTCAATCGGTTGTTAGGTTGGTTTTTGGATGTTAAAGTCTTTTCAATTTAAATGAAATCAAACTTTTCAAGTTACTGATAATATTACGGAAATGTTTTCGGATGCTTGAATTATTTGCTTTCTGGAGAAAGGAAATGAATATAAATTTTTAGAGACAGTTAGTGAGCTTGATGAATGACGCTAATGCTCTAATGTTTTAAGAAAATTTGAAATGGAAAGATTGAGCTGAATATTATTCGATATATTTGGTCTCAGTTAAATATGCAGTAGGAAAAACATGAATTTAAAGATATGTATTATCATAAAATTTAAAAAACAAGATTTAAATGTAATATTCAGATGCTTAGAGATTAATTATTAACTAATTAATTAAGAATTGGTGCTGTTCTTTCCAGCTGATCATACAGTTATGTTTGGACAGTTTTGAATCCGAATTTAAATTCCTAAAGAGAGCATACAAATAGGCGGCTATTATTAAATTATTTGATTTAATATGCTCTTTAAGTTTATTAAGAAACAACCCAAAATCAAAAAAAATTTTTTTTGAATTGTTTTTGGAATTTGTAAATTCTTGCCAAAAAAACCTGATCTTACAAAATTAAATTTAATTCATGAAATAGGGTGAAAAATATGTGGGAAATAAGGAATTATTGATTTAAAACAGAAAGAAAATTCCATGTGTCTGTGAAATTTATCGCACAAACTGATATATTTCCAATTTTTTTGCAACTTTGATTGACATTTTCTAATATCGCTGAACTTTCTGATGACAAATTTCTATTTTGGCAAAAAAATTTTTCCTTCGCCGTTCCGAAAGTGTATGTTAATATGAAAACATTTCATAGTATTAATGGCATGATCACACGTTCGAAACTTATCTGCTAACACGTAAATTATTCGTCAGTTCTCTTCTGATAAATGATATATTAAATTGTGATACAGTTAATGCCTAACTATCTTTTATCATTTTAATAGCGCAGGTAACTATGGCTCCATTACTTGAAGTTAATATTGTAAGTGTTTCCCTATTTTTTTATTTTCTATTTCAAAACAATAATTACATATTTTGAAATTAAAAAAAAATTTCACAATAACTGAACATTTCGAAAGTGAACGCTTTCATTTTTTTACTCATAACAGAAGCGTTTGGCACATAAAAAATTATCTAATGAAATAATTGGGATCGAGGAAGAGAAAAAGGCTAAAATTATGAAATAAAAGTAGGAAAAAGCTGTTAGAGCTGCTTCCATCAACAGTACTTTAACTACGAGAGAATTGAAAAAGAGACATTCTCTGAAGAGGAAATAATTTTTTGATAAAGCAAAATTATTCATCTAGGCATGAAAATGCTAGCTTTTTGTCCTTTTTTGTTATTAATCAGTCTACTTTTCTAAAAGTGACCTGATATATTTCTTAAAACTGTAATGGCATTAAGTTCTAACATCGAGGTTTTCTAATCAGTTCTAGAATTAATTCATTTTAATGTATTAAAGCTTTGATGTTAAAGCTTAATATCATTATAGTTTTAAGGAATATGTCAGTTCATTTTTAAAAAAGTAAACTGATTAATAGCAAAAAGGGATAAAAAGCTAACATCTTCATTCCTAGATGCATAATTTTGTTTCATCAAAAAATTATTTCCTCTTGAGAGAATGTCTATTTTTCGGTTCTCTCTTAGTCGAAGTATTGTTGATGGAATCAGCTCTAACAGCTTTTTTCTATTATTATTTCATAATTTTAGTCTTTTGTTCTTCTCTTCCATCCCAATTATTTCATCGGATAATTTTTGATAATTATCATTTTATTTTGCCAAACATTTCTGCTACGAGTAAAAAAATGAAAGCGTTCACTTTCGAAATGTCAGTCATTTTGAAATTTTTTTAATTTTAAAATATGTAATTATTGTTTTAAGACAGAAAATAAAAAAAAATAGGAAACACTCACAATATTAACTTCAGGCAATGAAAATATTAAAATAGTAAAAGATAGTTAGGCACTAGCTGTATCACAATTTAATACATCATATATCAGAAATGAACTGACATGTAACATGAAAATAACTTAAGTGTTAGCAAATAAATTTCGAACATGTGATCCTGTCATTGAAACTATAAAATGCATTCATTTTAACATGCATGAACTTTGGGGACGCGACGGAAAAATTTTTCTGCCAAAACTGAAATTTGTCATCAGAAAGTTCAACGATATTGGAAAATGTCAATCAAAGTTGTAAAAAATTGGAAATATATCAGTTTGTGTGATAAATTTCCCAAACGCGTAGAATTTTCTTTTTGTTTTAAATTAATAATTCATTATTCTCCCATGAATTAAATTTAATTTTTTTTAAATAAAACCAGGCTTTTTTGGCAAGAATTTATAAAACCAGACTTTTTTGGCAAGAACATTGCAAAAACAATTCAAAAAAAATTTTTTGATTTTGGATTGTTTCTTAGCAAGCGGAAAGAATACATTAAAGCAAATAGTTTAGCAGTCTGCATCAGTACCTAAACACAAATCGATTGCTTTAATTTCAGCTTTTAGTTTCATTCACTATTTGTTCATTTGTTTTTTTTTGGATGAGAAATCGAAAATTAATTAATTTAAATACCGGAAAAGTTATTTGAAGAAAATGAATGGGCAAAAAAAAATCAACTATAAAATCCCAATTTTATTGAAAAATTTTTGGAAAAGTGTAAGATAAATCAGATTTTATTTATTGCGTCATTTGTTGGAAAAGTTATATTTGTGATGAGTTTTTTTTTTTTTTAAAGTTGGAAATTAAGTTTTTTTTTCCCTTCAGAAATAATTTAAAATTATAGATCTAACAATGCAGTATGTCAGCAATCAGCAATACAATAGTAACTATAAGTACGATTCACTAAAACAGTTACAAAAGCTATCATCACCGATCGTTGGCTTTTGCGCCTGGTCCAAGCATGGTTCGATAATAAGTTCTTTATGCGGATGTTTTTCGAAACCTATCCATTTCAAGCCATTATCAACTACATTATCATCAACATTCATAACGCTAAATCCGGATGCGGATGCGGATCCGGATCCGGATCTGCCTGATATGAATAGCACGGAGGATGTTATTGACAAAAATAATGTGGAAATAAATCAACAATCTACGTCAGAATCAGATTTTAGACGATACTATTGCTGCAACGATCAAAGTAAGCTATAAAAAGAATGTGTTAGAGAGAGAAAAAGAGAGGAAGAAAGGGAAAGAGAAGAAAAGCTTGGAAATTTACTTATTTGGAAATTAGCCTAATCGTCCACTTCTTTGTCTTTCATTCCTGAAGAGGCGTTGAAAAATCGATCAATTCTTATCGAAAAGCAAATTCTCGTTCTGTGCTAGAAACTTACATTTTAAAATTCACATAGTAAAAATTCGTATGCCAAAATTTCATTGACAACACATAACTTTAGCGATTTATTCATTTTTTCATTCAAAAAATAATTATTTTACTAAAATTAAACCAAAATAAAATTAAAAATGGAACAAAATTATATTAAAGTAGTTTCTGTCAAAATCATCACTTTTCATTTCATTTTTTTGCTCAAATTTAACTTTTTTTCTTTTTTTAAGTTCCAGTACTTTTTTCGTCATTCATTTCAAATTTACAGTGTTTGAAAGTTTTCGAAATTCAATATTCCAAACTTTGCGATCATTTGTTTCCAAAGCGTTTTAACTGCTCTTTAGCGAATTTTAAATTTTTCCTTTCCATACTACCAAATAGTACCTTTGATGCAAAAAAAATTGAAATTTAAATTTCTATTCCATCGAAAGATGTTGACAGATATCTATTCCATGTTGACGGTTATGTTGACAATTATTATTATTTCAACTTAGTTTTAGGGGTCACTCATATTATTGGTATTATCAGGAATACTTTCACATTTTTTTAAAATTTCATTTATATCATTTTGAAGTAAGACGTCATGGAAAATTTCTTAATCTTCATTGTTCAATATCACAGTATTGGTGTCATCCATTAAATTGAAGATTTGTTTGCAGAAATGAAATATCTGCGTTCTCTCTCTCTCTCTCTCTCTCTCTCTCTCTCTCTCTCTCTCTCTCTCTCTCTCTCTCTCTCTAGAGATTAATTGTCTTAGTATCCGGAAATGCAATAGAAGTGGATTACATAAGGAATAGTTCTTTAGTTTGAAATGATACGCAATTTTTGCAATGACATCAGAAATTCTATTTATTCCATCTTTCAAACATTTCTCAACCGGAAATATTCCCTTCCGGTAACTTTAAATGGTTCTGAACGGGATGAATTGGAACAACTTTCGTTTTGTCATGCATCATTTCTTTTTTTGCCTTTTAAATTTTTATTTAAATATAAGTTTTATAGCTTCATAAATCTCGTAGTCAATACTGTCTTTTCTATATTCTACCTTTTTTTTACTCCCGTATTTACCATAAATTAAAATTTGGGACTTTAAAACTTCATTAATTTTTTAGCCATATTGTCAATTAGTTTATTACCAAAATTTTTTCAAATAACGTTTTATTTAGTATGGTACCATAGTTTGACTGTAATTTTTCGTCTACATTAATCTAGAAATCATTGTAATGTTGGAATAACACGATACCCGTTTAATTAAAAATTTGACCATATCGGTTTACCTGATATGGTACCGTACCTGTCTATGGACCAGTGTCACGGTTGTTTTGATTGGTGTCGTCAATGTCTTCGAAATATTACAACCTCAGATGGTGAGCAATGTGGTATGTTTTTATCTATGAAATTCCCATGTCAAACATCTTTTTTTTTTCATCTTTTATAATTTATAACATTAATTTTCGTTTTTTTTTTGGTTTAAAATATTGATAACTTTTAATTTTTACTGTATAAATTAATAGAAATTATGGAAAAGAGACAAATTGAGTTATCAACTGATTTTTCTTTACACTTTATTGAGCGAAATATAAAAAGAAAAAAAAAAATGAAACTTCTTTTCTTATCACCTATAGCATGATTATCAATATAATCGTATCACGGAATGGAGGAAGGAGAATTGTGCAAATATTGATAATGAAAATCTGCATGCCGAAAATGATGGCTTGCAAAAAGGTGCAACGTTGATGATATATGGTATGATGATAAAAGGTTACTGATAAAGCAAATGGTCCGCAACAAAACGGGTAAAATAGTGATGCTGAAAAAGAGAGAGGTTTTGAACAATAATATCTATAAGCTGTAAAACAATGATAAAAAGCTACTAACGATTAGGAAACCATAAAATGATAGAAGAGGAGCGCTGAAGAAAACGTTACCACGTAAACTGTAACGTGATGGAAAAGTAACACTAAGGAAAAGGAATCCACATAGAATATAAACTGACGGGATGATAGCATTAAAGGAAAGATTACATGCAAGCCGTAAAATGATAGATGAGGGATGGTGCTGAAAAAAAAAGATTGTTTAGTAACTATCAATGTAATTATGAATAGCTAATGAGAGATTATTTGTTAATTAAAAAATAATGGAAAAATTCATTAATGACTTCGAACAAAATATGAATACATTAAAATATCTGCTAAATACGTTGGTAATTTCATTATTGTATTTCTTTCAAAAGCAACTTTTTTTGTTGATGAAATAGGAAAAGATATAA